TAAAGGTTTATTTTTATAAACTATTATTTATATATTTTAGCATTTTACTTAGTAGGCATTAAATTAATAAAGGAATTAAGGAAAACGAAAAAAAAAAGGACGATAAACAGTACAAGTGGTTTGGGTATGTATAAATGGAAGTAATAACCATTTAGGGGGTGTTTGGCAAAAAAAGCTTATTGCTTATTAGTTTATTAGCTTATAAGTTAATAAGTGTAGGGTAACTTATGAAAAAATGACGTATTAGAGGTTCCCCACCAAATAAGTTATTTAAATCCAAACACTTTTTTAACTTATAGTGATGTGGAACCTAATAAGTTGTTTTAAAAAAAGCTTAGCCAAAACCCCCTTAATATGGTATGATAATGCTTTGAAAAATAGATGTCATTTAATATTCATTTCTCGAAGTGAACGCAAAATGGTTTTAACTCTAAAGAGATCAAATTATTCGCCGTCCGCCGCTTTGCGCGGGTAGACGGCTAGTATATATATATATTATATATATATATATATATATATATATATATATATATATATATATATATATATATATATATATATATATAATATATTTCTAACGTCATCCTTCTGTTGAGACGAGCAAATGAGATTATTCGATTAAAATATTATACATAATATGTGCTTGTAGATTATTCTTATGTTTTTTTTTTTTATAGTGGGTGTCCGAATGTAAAACGATTTTGCTATCCATATCATGGTGAGCGATGTCATTTTTTTGAGATAAAATTACACGAATGATCCCTATGGTTTAGGGTAATTTGCACGTTTGGTTCCTAACTTATTTTTTTAACTCGGATGGTCTTTACGGTTTGCTTTTGTTACGTGCTTGGTCCCTACAGTTTGTTTTTGTTACGCGCTTGGTCCCTATCTTACCTAAAATGACTATTATTTAAATAAGAAAAAATGGTGGAGTAGATAAGGTAAGGCGAATGGGGTGGCGTTGGGGGTGTGTTTACTTAAATAAATTAAAATATCAAGGGAAAAATAGTATCTTTAGGTAAGACAGGGATCAAGAGTGTAACAAAAACAAACAGTAGCAACCTTCTGAGTTAAAAAAATAAATTAGGAACCAAACACGCAAATTACCCTAAACCATAGGGACCATCCGTGTAATTTACTCTTTTTTTGAGCGGTAACGTTTAAGTGGAGTTGGAGGAAAGATATACATTCATCTGTATGTAATGTCATAGAATCGACATTTGGCGTTCTTAAATTTTTTTTAAGATTTTGAAAGATATACTAAACTATCCATTAAGACGCCATGCTGATTTTGCGTGCATGTTGTGTATTGCGCAATTATATATGGATTGAAGATGTGGCAATCACTTTATTCACTATATATGGTGATGAGAATTTTCAAAACCTGAAAAACGGTTTGAACGTGGTTCAACATGGTTTTCGTTTGGATACGACTGGTCAAAATGAAATGCTTCAAGTTAGAAATTTAATTGCTAGTATGTTATGGAAAATGTATACACAATCTCCATTCAATTAAAGTAGTAAAAATTGTCTTGTTGAAAATGTTTATTTTAGAGGTGAATCATACGTTGGATTTTATTTTTGAGGTGAATCATAGCTGACCGGGAGCATTGGGTCTCAAAATCGTACTTGAATCTCCAAGGCAGCTTGGAAGACCAATTTTTTACTGAAATTTTCTTGTTTTTCTTTCAAATTTCTAACATTAGGCATGTTGATTTGTTTTATTGAATTGTGTTATCTTATGTAAGTCGTATAAATTTGGACTTTTTGATTAGTCATGAATTCGAATCTCTTCACATAACTCCTCATGACTTTTTCTAACATGGTTAATATTTATTACATGTTGATGAAGTTGATTTTGGTTTGAAATTTGGCTAGCATGTTCGAAATCTACAGAGATTTTCGATAATAACTTGGTTTTGTAAAAATAAAAAAAAATAGGCATGAGATGCAGAGATGGTTTCTCGAAGAAGATGACCGACGCCATCACGCCAAAGTAATTAAGGGATAGGAGATGAACGAAACAAAGGGAAAGGAGAGTGGGTACAAAGGGGGTAGGATAAATGAGAATTAATAAAGGAAATGGTTACCACTGATTTTATGAAACAAACTATTCAACTTGTATTTAAGATCCCAACAAATCCAATCTCTATTATATAAAAAAAGAAAAAATAAAGGACTTGCGATTTATGTGTTTTAATATTATATTACAAGTTACTTAGGTCTTTAAATATTTATTCTTTTGGTCCAAATTTTAAATACTTTTTCAACCTAGAAATATTTGAAAAACTACAAGTAAAAAGTTTAAAAAGCGTAAATCAAAAGGTTTAAAAATATAAGTTGCAAAAATCTTTTGCTACTTTTTAAATCCTTTTTAAAACTTTTAAAAGGAAAAAAAAAACATTTTAAAATATTTATACATACGCTTTAAACTTTTTAAAAACTATTCTTATATTTTTCAACCTTTGTATGTTGTAAAAACAATTTTAAAATGACTTAAAAATGTTTAAAAAATTTTGTCAAAAAGTTTTAAAATATTTGTCAAAAAGTTCAAATATGTTGTAAAAAGTATTGTGAAAAAAGATTATGAGAAAAGTTCAAAAAGTTGTGTAAAAAAGTTTTAAATTTTATGAAAAAAGGTTTATACAGATTGTAAAAAAGTTGTAAAAATAAATTAATTTTGGAACAAATTTATAAAATGAAAACAAATCCAGACATAATTTATAACAAAGTTTAAAACTTAGGCCAACATATAAATGACCCCTTTAACTTGTAATAGCATGTCAAAACATATAGATCCTAATTTTGTTACATTTTTACACAATAAAGTGAACTTGCTGCAACTTGAAAATAATTTGAATAGTTTATTTAATAAAACCAATATTGACCTTAAAGAAAATAACTAATGAAATAAGTAAACATATAATAAAAAATACAACACATATAATTAAGATAATATAGTTTTATTAAATCAGTTTGGAACTAAATATGAGAAAACTATAGTTATGGTCTGAGTTGAAAAATTCAGGAGAGATCTAAATCATTCAATGTCTAGAATTAGGGCCGTAAACGAATTAAATGTTCAACGGGTTGTTCGCGAACCGTTCGGTGTGAAGTTTGTTTATGTTCGTTTATTTAATAAATTAACTAACACGAACACAAATTCTCGTCCGTTTAGTTAAACGAACAAACATAAACAATGGTCTCGTTCGTTCAATTATGTTCGTGAACGTTCATTTACGTTTATTTATGTTCATTCATATAAGTTCATTTTATTTTCATATATGTTTAATTGTGTTTGCTTCAATTACTATGTTATATGTTCATTTATGTTAGTTTATCTTTGTTCGTTTATGTTCATTTAGTATGTTCATGAACATAAACGAACAAATATGAACAATATAATTTGTTAAACGAATGAACATGAACAAGAAAACTCGTTCGTGTTCGTTATTTGTTCGGTTAACTTAAATAAACAAACATGAACAAACCTTGTTCGTGTTCGTTTGATTCGTTTACAGCCCTATCTAGAATACCTCAAACTACAAAGACTAATCATATAACTTACTATTTTAAAATGTAAAATAAAAACTCAATCAATTTTAATTAAACAATCTTTTAATAAATTCTACTTAAACCTGAAAATAAAAACTCTAATATCTTTTTTTTAATCCTTTTTAAGAAAACATATATTAATTTTTAACAACGAAACTAGCCTAAGGATTCAAGACATTGATGCCAAAATGAACTAATGAAACCAAGAGCCTTTTTAGAACACGAGCTTAATCTTTAGTTTTTGTTATTTATAATTTCGACTTATAATGGTTTTCGGATAAATTATCTTCTTCTTCTTTCTCCTTTTTTTTAATTCATTTATTTATTACTCCATTATTATCGAGTGTGATCGTACAATTATTATCTATTCAAGTCTAGATGACTATCTTGGTTATTTTCCGTAATCTAACACGGTCATTAAATAGTCTATTTCACCTAAAGGTGTAGGTGATGTAAACTTTTGGCATGAAAGTTTTACTATACCGGTGGGCAGGCATCAGGGCACAGGTACTAGGATGAAAGTGGGTCTAAAACCGGATCAGTTTACTGGATCCAAAAAACCATGAACCAGAAATAGATGGATTATAAGAATCGAGAACTGGACTGGTACATGGTAACTTTTCAGCTATCAAACCTGGTGTAGGGGGTATGGAACCAACTTGAACCAGAATTTGATAATTGGAACAAAATTTGTGTATTAGACCCGAAAATAACCGGAAACCTGGAATTTTGGAACAAAAGAGAAAAAAATATATGTTGTGACCACGAATGCTTGTTAATAACAAGAAAGAAGACCATTGCTCGACAAGTTACAAAATCTTCACTCACGAGGTTAGTACATCTCGTGCAAAAGAAACATCTACAAAAAATTGTTATAAAACAAATGATATATCATTTTTGGAGGGCTGTAAGTAACTCAATACATATCCAAATAAAGTGCTTATGGAGTTTATAACTATTGTTTAACAGTTAACTACAATTTTTAAGAAAATCAGCTCGAATGGACTTATAACAAAGTAGATATAACAGTTTAAAGATAACTAAAAATTCAACAACAATGATTTTCGAAACCCAAATGCTAATGTCAAACTATCAATATCAGTTTCAATCACATCATTATCAACCGCAATAATTTTAACCCCTACAATATCATTTCCAATAATTTCAAACCCAACAAGCCTATAACCAATTTTCAATTTCTCAAGAATACAACCAAAGATCCAGTTCTTACTAACTAGAGTCAATTTCACTTTAAATTCCCGACACTTCACATTTTCGTGAACCTGTAAACGAAAATCTAGCGATAAAACCCAACCATCATCTCAAAATCTAAATGATGAGTCTAAAGAGGAAATTGCCACCAATAATAGAAAATGACACAATCGAAGAGAAATTTTATCCCACGGTTGAAACGAAGACTATGAATCGAAACAGAGGAATTAGGGTTAGCCAAAGCATTTATCAACACTTTGGTGGACTATGAAAAGGCAATCATCATTGATCCGATGCATTTTGAGAGTCACTAGGTGGAGGATTTCAAGTTGCGAATGTGTTGTAGTGATCTTAATATGCACCAACTCAGCTCCAAATGGAAGGATTTGCAGGCAAAAGATAACAAGTTCAAGTATATCTACAACAACAAATGCAACATGCGTGCAAGCGGGAGGTCAAACGCTGATTTGTTAAAGACGACACATAGTAAGTTCCATAAACTCTTTGCCAAAGGTTTTCTACATGTGGCTACATGGGATATTCTGAAACACCATGCTAAATGGCTTACTGTTGGCTTTATAAAAGACAACCCACCACATCCGTTAGTAAAAAAGAGCAAACAAATATGACTCCAACATATATATATACAAGAGGATCATATCGTCATTTTCCAAGTCAAATGAATGAGGGATGTGAATATGTTACTAGTCAAGAGTTTCAAGAAGAAGTAAAAATACAGACACAATCACCACACTAACGAAAGGGCAAGCACTAACATACACATGCTTACAACCTGTTAATATCAGAAACCTCATGGAAGAAGTCGGTCAGGTGACATTCTGACAAAAAATAACCAAAAAAGTAGAGGAGAAGACAAAGCAAAATAACAAAGAGATAAACTTCACATTTTAGAAGAGTAGTCGGAAAAGAAAGTTGCAGTCTTGGAGGAAGAGTTATGAATGATGAAAGAGAAACATTTTGATAAATATTTTACAGTTTTTCCTAAGCCACATGACATTTAACTGGAATGGAACGAAATCCTCACTCACAAGTAGGAAATTGCACAAACTCATATATGAGTGGCTGAAAAATATTTTCTAGGTTTCCATTCTCATATTTAGGATTTTGATTTTCGTATTTAGGATTTTAACTTTCATATTTTGGATTTTAATTCTCGTATTATGGATTTTTATTTATATTTATATTTGTATGTTTTTTAATGATTTTGTTTTTAAATTTAGTTTTATTTATTTTACAGTTTATTAAATGTTTTTAAATATATTTTAATAAAAATTAAGAAAGTTGGGAGAGTCAGAAAAATCAGTTAAGTTAGGAATGAAAGAAAAAGTTGAGAGTGAAAAAAAAAATTGATGCGACACTTATAAAGTAAAAGGGTTGAAAGAAAATGATGCTCTCTATTCTACGGTTTGTATAAATTTAAACATAAATTCCAATCACCTAAAATCTTGAAGTCACACAAGCAAACTAGAAACAATTTACGCAGGATCCAAATCAAAATTGAATATCTCTATTTATATTTTTATAGGTTACTAGTTGTGAGACCCATATATTACATGGGTTTATTTAAAAAAAATTAAATATTAAATTTTAAAAATTTAAGAAGTTTGAATTTATAAGAAAAATAAGAAAAAATTTAAACTATTAAACTAATGAAACTTTAATACATTGTATACATTACATATATAAATAATTTCTAATAAATACCTTACATATATATTACCCTACATATTAAATGTGAAATTTTAATTTAATAAAATGAAAATTACAATAAAATGACAAGTGGAAAATAGAAAATTCAAAAAATATAGAAAATGACATATGTCCAAACGAAGGAGAAGAAGACATATGGCAAAAAAAACCTTCATTTATTAAGGAGGATGTGAATAAGATATGTTGGATTGCTAGAACTTTTAAGAAAAATTCAAATTAAAGCAAAAGACTTCATTTAAGAGTGTCATTTAAAGTTTTTATTTCAAACAAAAAGTTAATTCCAAAACCATTTGTAGTTTTGGAGAGCTTTTAGCTTTTAATTTTTATGTTTTATATCATGCATTTTATACTTTTCAAAAACTTACAACTATTTTTTTAAATATTTCTAAAAAGTTAACTCCAAAACCATTTCGAATAGCTTTAGGGAACTTTTAGCTTTTAATTTTTATGCTTGACTTCATTTTATATTTTTCAAAAGCTTATAATTCTTTTAAAAATATTTCTATATATATAAAAACTAAAACTTTAGATGGTCTATTTTCCCAAAAATGCATAAAGCATTAATTTACTTGTGGGTCCAATTAGGAACACATACAAATAAATAATATTTTATTAAAGGAGGTTAGGGGAAAATATTTATGTCCAACATATGGGCTCTAAATCATAATGTTCTTTGAGCAATGTGATGATGTTAAGCTTGAACTTTAAGTTTCACTTGCATGGGTTCTCACTTTGTTACCCATAAGTCCAAATATAAAGAAACTAAAATGTAAATAAAATAACATACCATCACAACGGCTAACCGGAGGTGTATGGACATCACAAGCTTTAGGTAGTCCCAAAGCGATAGTTTCATTAATATTTAAACTTGCGGATGAGTGATCACCACTGACCAAAACACAAAGACACCGTGGCTCTGACCTGACCACATTGGCTAGTTGCGAGCAACAAGGATGTGATGGGCTCGATGAGTTCCCACTCACATAGTTGAGGCATGGGCTCAAGCTCACTATTGCACTTCTGCACTTCGATGACTCAATCGTGGCTCCATCACATAGCACCACCATCAACATAACCATAATCACAACATTAGCTCTATTTGAAGCCATTTTTGGCGATTTCTGGATGTTAGTGTGGTGGAATGTTTTATCTTTATATTTTGATGGAATGTCAAAATGATGATGAATTTATAGGCATTTTGGTGGCCTAATTTCTCAAATGGGGGAGTTTGTTTTTAGATATCTTTTATGGAATATGACAACCTTTTTTTGTATTACTGTTACGTTTTAAACCTTGTTTTCATTTTCCTTTAAAACTATATATTTTTTTTACCTTACGAAAAAGCTACTATATTTTTTACTCCATGAAAAGACCGCAAGATCTTTTGCTTGAACCATTAAAAAAAAAAAAAAAAAATCCCAAAGTAACTGGTCTGGTCCATTTTCATTCAAATTAATCGTTTTGGTGTTAAATTAATTAGCAGATTCATACAGACGTAGATGTGGTATCGGGTTGTATTGTATAACATTATAAACCATTTATGTATTGCTACAACAAACCCCGGTTTATGTGGTTCATGTAATGAACACTAGCTTTTTGGTTTGTTTTCCAAGTATAAGATTATAAAAATGATTATGTTAAATTAATAGTTTTTTGGTTTGTTTAATTTTAAAAAACCGTGTACTTAGGTTAATTTAATAAAAACATAATATAACAATCATCGTTAAGTGTGGCAATAGAAAAGTACTTATTATTTTATGGAATCATCTTTTATGTAACCGACCAAGTTTATAAAATGTATTTTTTGATTCATTAAAGAAAACAAATACTACAATCACACAATCTCTTCTCATAAAAATAACAAATTGCTCGCTACTAATACACACAATCACCTACCAAGATAAAGAAGAAATAAAACTTCTTTAGCACTTGGAAGAACAAAGAATGTAAAATAAATTTAGAAACGTGAAGCGGAAGAAGCCCATGTCACCACAAACAGAACAAACACCAAGAGATGAACTGGTGCTCGTGGTTCACTTCCATTTGGTGTCAATCCATCTGTCTTTGACCCTGATCCTACAGCCATCAATTCATTTAATTGCTAATTAGCATCAGAGAGATAAACTTTAATCACAAATGATCAGTTAATTTAGATTATACTTCATTAATAGTTCGTCAAAAAAATATTGATAAAGGGTAAAAAAGTAAATACCCGATGGAGAATCCGACTCGGTTGGGCTTTCTGGCAATACATCTGGTTCGTTTGTAGATCCTTCAGGGGAAGCAGCCGGGGTAGGGGTAGAAGTTGTACCCGGCCCGTTTGCGGCTAAATAAACAAACCAAACCAAACCAAACCAAATTTTGTTAAAATTTTGAAAAGCCCAATAAACAATATACAAAAAAAAAAAAAAAAATTAAAAACATGCATGGACATTTCATTTTGAAGTGCCAAAATTTCAAGTGATCAAAATTACAAAAGTATTACCGTTACATTGGCTGATCGGTGGAGTCTGGACATTACAAGCACCAGGAAGCGTTAGAGCCAGTGTTCGGTTGATACTGATACCGAGTGTGATCCCGTTCCCATTTAGCACTGCACAAAGGCATTGCGGTTGAGCTTGAACGAGGTTTCCTAGTTGGGAGCAACACGAAGATGATGGGGTGGATGTATTTCCTGTAATGAAGTTAAGACATGGTGACATACCCATGAGGGCATTGGTGCACCCTGATTGAGCCATGGTTCTTCCACCGCAGATTGAGACAATAAGGAACATGGCTAGAGTCACACTAATCACTTTACAAGCCATTTTGTTTTACTTTCTTTTTCTTGATTTCAGTTAAAGAGAAAGTATTTGTTGGGATTTCTTTGTGCAGAAAAGTTAGAAATCTTTAGGATTATAAATAGTGTGTCATATATGAAAAAGGACAAGCTTTAATTTATTGGTATATATAGTTGACCAACTATAGAAATAATTATCCTTTTTAATTAGATACTATATCTAAATAGTAAATTAAATTGGGTTTTATTTTATACATAAAATGTTAAACAGTTTCCTTTTTAATTAGATACTACTAAAATTGTGTTATTAGAAACGTGAGTTGAGTTAAAAGTCATTTAATTTACGCTCAAGTGTTCATTGTTTTATTTAATAAAAACAATGATAACTTTTATAAAAAAAAAAAAAATGGGGAGAAAAAGATTTAAGAGATCAATCTAGCATGTATCTGTTATAAAGTTTTATTCGGTTTAACGAACAACCGTCTCGATCAATTTTCCATATGTATAGATTATGCTACTATACGGTATAGAAGTTTGAAATCAACTAAATGAAACATTCGATATAATCTTTAATGTATTTCTTAATCCTTTAAACGTTTTGTTTTTTTTTTTTTTTTTTTTTTTTTTTTTTTTTTTATATTATTATTTTTAATTTTTAATTTTTTTGTGAAAGTTGTTTTCTAACTAAAAAATGATACAGTTCGTTATTTTACTTATGGTACTTTGACAAGCAATGTGGTCGAAGTTTAACCTAATCTAACTCCAATTCGTTAGCTTAGGTTGGTCACAAACCAACCAATATTCACCTAGCAAAGCCAAAGTAGTTGAAACCCTTATAAATAATCACCAAAAACGGACAACCAAAAAAATTCTTAATATATATTTGGTAACCTAACCTAAAAATTTCCAAAAAACACCCTTCATAGTTCATAATCATTGTCATTCTCATGGACAATTGCTAAAGGGGATGTGCACCTCTACACAAAAAAGGCAAAAACCCACCTTTTCAATTATAAAAAACAATTGCTTATGTGGTTAAACTGGTTCGCCAATTTGTGAATTAACGGGCCCTTTTCCAACAAATGACGAAATTCATATTAAAAAAAAATGAGACTTACAAGTGTTTTTGTTTCTGGTGTGGAAGTACGAACCTAAATCTAGGGTTTCTACATGTCCTTCGATGAACCTTCAAAATAATGTTCAAACATTTATGTTCATGTTTGCTTCCAAGTTGAGGGGGATGGTGGTGGTGGTGGTGGTTGTCATAGATGGAGGTGGTGGTAGTGGTTTATTAGCTTTGGTCAAGTTTATTAGTTTCATATTTTCCACCAATAAATTAATTTTAAAGAAAATATACTTTTTCAAATTCCATGTGGATATCACATCAATGCCATGTGTACATAGATGGTCAAAATTAGCCTACACGACATGTAATGCAGGTGGTGGCAGTGGTTTATTAGCTTTGGTCTGTGAAGTTTATTAATTTCATATTTTCCACCAATAAATAAATTTTAGAGAAAATATACTTTTTCAAATTCCATGTGGATACTACGTCAACGCCATGTGTACATAGATGATCAAAATTAGCCTACATGACATATAATGCAGGACGGTAACCTGTTGAACCTGTTATAGTCTGTCTCGTGACAAAATTTGAAGTTTAAGAACTTTATTAGCGCGATTAAAACTTTAATGGCCAAATGGTGACAATTTTGAGACTTTCACTGTCAAAAAGTAAAACCACGAAAGTCTCAAAATTACTTTATTCCCTTTTAAAAAGTTCATTTATTAATTTTGTTTACTGTTTTTTCTGTATTCATCTTCACAAGCCAAAATATATTTTTATTTATTAGTTGTGTGTCTGCAATACGGTGATGAACAAATTGGCATGTAAACTAAAAGTTAAATGGATGCATTGGATCCGGTTGAAAATATTTACACTATTAGTGGTGATTGGATCCAACCAATTACAATCAACCAATATACAATATAAAACAGAAAACTACGAACATATACACTTCCAATTTAACAGTTGAGCAAGAATACATACTCCAAACTTCATTGTTGAACCAGATACGATATACATATTGGTAGTGGTGAAATGTCCAAGATGTTGATGTTATGTTGGAAAAGTGAAAAACTTTCCATGTAAAATTGAAATCTTCCTTTCTAATAAATATGAAAAATTAAATTGATTCCTACTTTTTATACCTACAAATGTTCCTATCCAATAAAATTATGACAAGTGTTATATTTTCATCTTTTTTAAACTAAATCATTAAAACTATATTAGGAATATATCAAATACAATTAAATTGAATGGTGATTTGTTATAATTTTAATGGGTAGGAATAATTGCAGGAATAAAAGGTAGGAGACAATTTAATTTCTCTTTATTTTAATATCATTTTTATTTGTCATGTGACACTCTTTTAAGGCTGTTTTTTTTTTCTTCACGCTCTTATTAATTGCATCCTATAATTTTGATTACAATTTGACCTTCAAATTTTGAAAAAAAAATCTAATCCTAACTTGAATTTTGAATTCTTTGTTTGATATTCCGAAATCAATTCAGCGTTTGATATAAATGGTATACCAAATTAGAATTCAAATTCACTCCTATCTAATTAAACATTCCAAATTTACATACCTAAAAATTATGTTTTATCCCATAAATTAAGGATAATTAATTATCATTTCCTTTTTCCTTAACGTCATTTTGTAAAATTATAGTTTTTTAATCTAAATTTTAAATATGTTTTTCTTATTTAACAAAAAATCATTCTAAATATCTCAATTAAAAAAATATATTATGATTAATCACTAACATGTTATATAGCGAAAACAATCAAAAGTTTAAACAACTAATTACCCATAATTACAAATAAATTAATAGATAGTTGTCGAGTGGTGTTGTAGCTTATTTGGTTTGTTGATATATGTTTTTTTAAACGTAACATATAGCAACACTCGAACCAAAGAAAATTGTACTCAAATCAATACATTAAACAAAATATATAAAATTTTACGTGATATATACAATCGTTCATAGTGGGAGGACTTTTCTAAACTCTTATAAGAACCGATTAACTAGACATTAAGTACAACATCTATGCAGCATTATGGCATATATATGCATTACATATTATTATGCATTTTTAGAGACTAAAAAGGAGGCCCTATTTTTTTGAACGTTAATGATTGTTTATCAAAATATTTTATTTTTTTAGTTGATGATAATTAGTTTATTTTATTAACTAAAACATTTTGGTGCTAACATATCTACCAATTAGTTAACTTATTACTTCTTTAACAAAATATCACAATCATATAAATTTTGAAACTTACAAAATATTTACCTTTAAATAATTAATTGTATATCATCTTTTTTTTTTTTTTTTTTTATTATTATTTTTTTTTTTTTTTTGAGATTTAAAGAACATGGATTATACTCATTTAAAAAGATGAGAAAATTTAGAAAATTATGATTGTATAATTGAAAATCCAAAAGTATATATACTATATAAGTTGTTTAAAATGCATCCACTACACATGTTTTTAACATTTTTTTTATATTGTTTTCTCATGTATAATTTTTTTTTTCCTATTTAGTATATGAAATTTAGATGTTTCATATTACATCCTTATGTTTTTCTTATTAATAATGATTTATATAACATCATTTCATTTTTGTAACCATTTCAGATAGTAATTAAGAAAGACAGCCATAAACTTACCAATATCGATGATCAGTTATATTTTACATATAATTGTTTGCAAAAATATGACTAAACAAATTTTCTTTCTTATTATATCAGTTTTTTTTTTTTTTTTTTTTTTTTTTTTTTTTTTCAGCCGTGTAACACACGGGTTATATCCTAGTATATAATATCATAATGACATTGGCTTTGACTATTCAAATGATCTAACTTACCTTTTTTTAATCCTAACTAGAGTGATTACATCCGCTTTGTAAATAAAAATAAAAATAAAACGTTTTTGATAAAAATAAAAATAAAAATAATTTTTTTATAAAAATAAAAATAAAAATAAAAAGTAGCATGGAGGCGCAATCTGTAAATTTTCAATTAGATATCCTGTTTTTAGGGCTAGAAATTTTAGGTTTTTTGATAAAAATAAAAAGTTTCTTTAATTTAAATTAAAATAAATTGAAATAAATAAATGAAAGTAAATTGTTTTGATTAATAGCTATAATAAACCTTATTGCTAATTCATAAATAAATTTTGCTAGAGTTTGGGCGTCGAAGGAAAACTTTTAAAGTTTAGGTACTAAAAGTGACAAGTTGGTGAAACTTATGTTTCACCTGGGAGTTTGGCTAAATGAACACCTAGGATCAATTATGTACAACTTAAGATGAAAAGACCATTTGTGGGCTAATTTGAGCATTTGGTGAGTCTAGGGACAATTTCTAAAAAGATATTTGGAAGAGGGACCAAAGTTGACAATTTAGCCAAATTATGGCGGCACCGCGTCAATTAGGAGACTGCGCTGCAGTTTCGGTTGCTTAACAAAAATAAAACTCTTTTTAACCTCCTTTTTACCATTCATTTCACCCATTTTCTTCTCCACTCGATCCCAGCCCATCTTCTACCTTCATGATCGATTTTCCCTTTAGATTCCTGATGTTCTGGTTATTAGAATTGCTAGATGGATCATTTCTAAAATCCTTTCAATACCTTACATCAAAAGGTAGTTTTCTTTCCTTTTTCCCCCAAATTCATTCTAGGGTTTTGGTTGGATTGCACATCCGAAATTTATACTTCATTTATGTTGTTTATATAAGATTAATGATGTAGTTCCTTTCCTTAATCCATCTCCAAGCTCCAGCCAACAAATGGTGGTGAGGTTTATGATATTGGAGTTGTTTTGATGAGTTTCATTGAACATCAATGGTGAAATCCAAATTTATGCTTAAATTAGGTTATCAATGTGAAATTATTTATATGGTTTAACTCCTTGATCTATCTACAAACTCCAACTAACAAATAGTTAGGAGATTTATAAGTTTTAATGTAATTTAGTGGGTTTCCAAAACCCTATTTCTTTAAATCCGAATTTGA